TTTATCTCATTTACTTACTCCTGACCCTACATTAAGACTACAAATATTTTAAGGTAAGTAATGAGTGAACTGTATATACATTTTATTGCTCTGCGATGCTTAAATATCATAGAATATATGTGTGGGTGGGTTGGCCAGGTATGGTAGCCTGGCTGACTACCATACATACCACACTTGATTTCTTACAATAAATACTACTTGTCTCACCCTAGATTAAGACTATAAATATTTTAAGGTAAGTAATGAGTGCACAGTGTGTGTATTGTACTTTTTTATTGTTTTTTGATACCTGGTTATATTGCTAACAATATATGTTAGTGTAAACTTGTTATCTAGTGTTTGTATGCATTTATAAGTAAAAAAAAAAAAAAAGGGTGTTCCACTTTACGGCGGTTTCCGCTTTACAGCGGTAGCCTGGAACCTAACCTGCCATATAAGTGGGGCCCTACTGTATATGAATATGAATATGAGTTCTTTCAATAGGAGTGAAGGCAAGTGGCTTTTAAGCCTTGACATGCTGTTGGAGTGTTAGCAGAGTAACATTTATGAAGGGATTCAGGGAAACCAGTTAGCCAGACTCGAGTTCTGGAGGTTTGCAATTGTCATCACAATTTTGCAAGTCATTTATAATATCATAAATGCACTGTTCTTTACGTATAACTTTATCATGAAATTTCTCTAAAACTTTCATTTTCAGGTTATGTTAGGCTATGTTAGGTTTGGGTGGCATATTGATTAATCATGATAACCACTTTATGAAATAACTACAGTCCATGAAGCAAAAGTAAATAAGTCGAAAATCACACGTGTGATTTTCACTCACTTGTATACTTGTGTGCGTGTTACATCTGGGAAAACAACAAGAATGTTATGTTTTGACTTGTTATTTGCTATGATACTCAGTTTCATTAATATTTTTCTGCATTACTTGCTCTGTGTGTAAAGGTAGAAAATTGAAAGTGAACATAGAAAAGAGTAAGGTGATGAGAGTATCAAATGATTTAGATAAAGAAAAATTGGATATCAAATTGGGGAGGAGGAGTATGGAAGAAGTGAATGTTTTCAGATACTTGGGAGTTGACGTGTCAGTGGATGGATTTATGAAGGATGAGGTTAATCATAGAATTGATGAAGGAAAAAAGGTGAGTGGTGCATTGAGGTATATGTGGAGGCAAAAAATGTTATCCATGGAGGCAAAAAAGGGAATGTATGGAAGTATAGTAGTACCAACACTCTTATATGGGTGTGACGCTTGGGTTGTAAATGCTGCAGCGAGGAGGCGGTTGGAGGCAGTGGAGATGTCCTGTCTAAGGGCAATGTGTGGTGTAAATATTATGCAGAAAATTCAGAGTGTGGAAATTAGGAGAAGGTGTGGAGTTAACAAAAGTATTAGTCAGAGGGCTGAAGAGGGTTTGTTGAGGTGGTGTGGTCATTTAGAGAGAATGGATCAAAGTAGAATGACATGGAGAGCGTATAAATCTGTAGGGGAAGGAAGGCGGGGTAGAGGTCGTCCTCGAAAAGGTTGGAGGGAGGGGGTAAAGGTGGTGTTGTGGGCGAGGGGTTTGGACTTCCAGCAAGCGTGCGTGAATGTGTTTGATAGGAGTGAATGGAGACAAATGGTATTTGGGACCTGAAGATCTGTTAGAGTGTGAGCAGGGTAATATTTAGTGAAGGGATTCAGGGAAACTGGTTATTTTATATAACCGGACTTGAGTCCTGGAAATGGGAAGTACAATGCCTGCACTCTAAAGGAGGGTTTTGGGATATTGGCAGTTTGGAGGCATATACTGTGCATGTTTGTATGTATATGCTTCTAAGCTGTTGTATTCTGGGCACCTCTGCAAAAACTGATTATGTATGAGTGAGGTGAAAGTGTTGAATGATGATGAAAGTAATTTTGTTTTGGGGATTTTCTTTCTCTTTGGGTCACCCTGCCTCGGTGGGAGACGGCCAACTTACTGAAAAAAAAAAAAAAACTTGCTCTGGCATAAAGAAACTGTCTATTCTCCAAAAGTAAATAAAAAATATACCACAGAAAAAATTAGGTGAGATAAATATCTGGGAGCTCATGTGTTCACACACATCTTCATGTAAATGCACAAAAACATGTGTAAACACACATAAGAACATAAGAAAGAAGGAACACTATGCACCCAGGTATTTCTGTTCTATTAATTTATTCAGATCTGTAGCTTTGCATTTCATGAGGTTTTCCCAGTTTTCTCTAACACAGCACCATCTACCACCATGGTAGAGAGACCCAGCAAAATGGAAACACTTGACAGCCCTCATTTCTCATGTATATACGAGACACTCCACACGTCTAATAGCAACCAGGACAAATGTATAAATAGTACTGTCTGATCCTATCTTTATCCCAAAGGAAAAATATTAAATTTGTATGTTATTCTTCACATTTAGTAAAAAAAAGTCTGAGAATGGAGCAGAAAAAATCAACAAGTAAAATATGTGCCGTAATAAAAGCTTCTAGATTTCTTCCAGAAACAGTTAATGATGAATTAGCAAGAGCAATATTGCATGTGTTCATATAACTGTAGAGATGACGATGATGACGACGACGATGACGATGTAGCAGATAACACAAAAGTAGCATGGAAACTGGAAAAAAATTTCTAATAAGTTTCTGACCTGTATAAAAGATTTTTTTCAACAAAAAGACTTGAGAAAGTCTGTTGTATAGGTAAAACACTGGACAAGAGAGACAGGTGCTTAAACAATAGCACACACTGATTAGGAAATATTTGGTAACTGGACCTTGGTTTGTACTTAGCAAAACACTGAATAGTTTTTCTAATTATTGCTTTCATGTTTTAACCCTTTGACTGTTTCGGTCATATATATACGTCTTATGAGCCACCATGTTTGACGTATATATACACTCATAAATTCTAGCGGCTTCAAATCAAGCATGAGAAAGCTGGTAGGCCCACATTTGAGAGAATGGGTCTGTGTGGTCAGTGTGCACCATATAAAAAAAATCCTGGAGCACACAGTGCACAATGAGAGGAAAAAAAAAACTGTGTTTTTCAATTAAAATGCCAACTTTGTGGTCTATTTTCATATAGTATTTATGGTTGTATTTTCGTTTTCTTGGTCTCATTTGATAGAATGGAAAACATATAGAAACAGAGGTGATTTTGATTGGTTTTACTACGAAAAGAACCTTGAAATGGAGCTCAAAGTAGGGGAAATGTTTGATTTCTGCCACTGTTCAAAAGTAAACAAATGATGTCATTTTCCAATAAATGTCCAACTAGCCATTCTAATATGCAGTCATGAATGGGTTGACATTATTTATACAATTATTACAATATTGCAGTAGTCTGCAGAACAGTAAATCTTCTATTTTTTGTTTGATTAAAAATTCAAAATAGAAAGCAAGAGTATATTCAGAGGGGCCTTGAGACGTGACTGATGAACAAAGAAAATGTTATTTTAGAGCCAGGAATGTCTGCATTGTTCATTCTGGACCCTATTTTGAAATTGTCATATTTTTTAATTTTCATGAAATTGGCCAAATTGCAAATTTCTGACCACGTTATTGGGTAGTTGGAATCGTTAAATGGGCAGTTTCTTGTACTCATTCGACAGAAAAAATTCCTACTGTGTAAGGAATCTCCTGTATGAAGATAGACTTAAAGCCCTAAATCTCCATTCTCTGGAGAGACGTAGAATGAGGGGAGATATCATTGAGGTGTATAATTGGATGACGGGCATAAACAAGGGAGATATTAATAAAGTACTGAGGGTGTTGAACCAGGTAAGAACCAGAAATAATGGATTTAAGTTGGATAAATTTAGATTTAGAAAGGACATAGGTAAGTACTGGTTTTCTAACAGAGTTGTAGATGCGTGGAACAGTCTTCCCAGCAGGGCGATAGAGGATAGGACCTTGGGTAGCTTTAAGAAGAGACTGGACAAATATATGAGTGGAAGGGGCTGGGTTTGATTGGTGTCATTGGGTACGGGAGTTAATTCTTGGGTAGCTTTGGGTAGAGGCCATTTTGATAAGGACCTGCCTTGTATGGGCCAGTAGGCCTTCTGTAGTGTTCCTCCATTCTTATGTTCTTAAATAGCTATGAGTTTGGTCGACTGGAACAACGGAATTAGCCAAAAATAGGGCTCAAAGTGGGCGAAATCGCCGATTCGTAAATATCACTGAGATCTCTAACTTCGTGAGAGCGTAATTCCGCCAGTTTTGTATCAACTTTCATTCTTTTGGTGTCATTACAATCGGGAAAAGATTCTCTATCATTTCATAAGAAAAAATTATTATTTTTTTTTTTTGGAAATTTTGAGACACCAGGAGACACCTCAGGATTTGGGATTGTGACAGTCAAGGGGTTAAACATCTACAACTTGTCAGTATTCCCATACTAACTATTGTATTGAGATGATGGTGAACCACTTGGTTGACACGCATACAAAGATGAGATTGGAAGGAAAGCTGGTTGAGATGAGTGGACTAACACTGCATGAGTCAGGCAGGTTAGCTGAAACATGATATGAGTCAAGTGATAGTTGGAGTAGGGAAGGTAAGCTGATTGACACATTATATGAGTGTGGTGACAGAGCATGAGTGGGGAAGGTAAGCTTTCTGACACATAAGTGTGGTGACAGTGCAGGAGTGCAGAAGGTAAGTTGGTTGACACATTAGTGGTGTGACAGTGCAGGAGTGCAGAAGGTAAGTTGGTTGACACATTAGTGTGGTGACAGTGTAGGAGTGCAGAAGGTAAGTTGGTTGACACATTAGTGTGGTGACAGTGCAGGAGTGCAGAAAGTAAGCTGGTTGACACATTAGTGTGGTGACAGTACAGTGGGAATGGTAAGCTGGTTGACACATTAGTGTGGTGACAGTACAGTGGGAATGGTAAGCTGGTTGAGACATTAGTGTGGTAGGTGTGAGGTAGGAACAACCTTTTTAAAATACTTGTACAATTTTAGAGTGGTATATTATAGAGCATGCGCTATGCACTCACCTTTGTCAGGCGGGCAATCAGCTGTGACTTCAGACCCTTGCTATTCAACATGCGGGCATCCAGTTCTGCACGAAGTTCAACCACCTGAAATATGACTTGTCTTAAATGTTACTGATGGACACCGTAGTTATTTTATGTTTTGTTGAAGATGATGATGACAACACACCTTCCAATATAAAGTAACAGCTCTATTTTAACACCGAAAATATCTAATATGAATCAAGATAAAAATGGGAGAAGGGAGGGGGAGTGGAAGGAAGGGGGAGGGGGAAGGGGGAGGAAGGGAGGAAGGGGGAGAGGTAGGAAGGGAGAGAGAGGGGGAGAGTAGGGTAGGAGAGAGAGAGGGGGAGAGGTAGGGAGAGAGAAGGGGAGAGGTAGGAAGGGAGAGAGAGGGGGAGAGGCAGGAAAGGAGAGGGGGAGAGGTAGGAAGGGATCAGCCTTGGTTTGGCTTTCGTTGTAGAGAGGCTGCTACTGCTAAGTACAAAGCATGGCGAAGGTGTAAGAGACATCCTACCACCTATAACAGAACCTGCACAGGCAAGCCTGTAGGCATATGGGTGACGTTCAAAAGTGGGCCATTGCTAAATGGGAGGTGGACA